GTGTTCCTGAAGTGGGGTTGTGTGACTTCTTGCGCGGTGAGCGTGTGAGCGCGGAAGGCTGCGCACAGTGGGAGCTTCTCAGCGGCACGGTCTCTCTTATTCTCTCCCGTTCTGGAATAGGGTGCTTGGGTGTGCACGCTCTGCAAAGCCTGAGCTTCTCCCTGTGGCTTCCTCCCCGTCGCACCCCCTTTTTTGCTCCTGAGGGAGGTCAGCCGTGGTCCCCAAGGAGGCCCGGCTGCAGAGGCAGGAAGAGGGGGCGCTCTGCAGTTTCACTGCTGGCAGAGGACACCGACCTGGGAGCAACCCTTCTTCCCCTTCCCCAGGCGTGCCTCCTTCATCTTCCTCTCTCACTGACTATTTATAAATAGGGGAAGGCACTGAGGGCCCCCACGCTGGCTACGTGCAGGCCGAGGTCCGGGGCTGGAGGGGCAGGAAGTCAGCTGGGGCCAGGTTGCCCAACTCCCAAAGAGCTGAGCCCACAGGCTGCCCCTCTTAGCCTACTGCCCAGCCCGGTGCCAGCCCGGGCTGTGAGCTGTGGCGTGAGTCCTCGGAGTGGGGGGCGCCTCGGAGAGACAGGGGTCCTCCGGCTGGCCTTGCCCGCGTGCCTCGGGGCTCCCCCTCTGGCAGCGGCTTGCGGCCACACGCTGTCCCTTATCTGGAATGCTGTCCTCTGGCTCCCTCACGGCTCCTGTGGGCCCTGGGCTTGGCCACTCACCCAGACTCTATTTTGGGGTCCCACCACCCCTCCAGGTGGTGCTCTTTTTTTAAGTTTTATTTATGTATGCAGACAGAACTGGGGTACAGGCCAGAGGTGTAGGGTGGCGAGGGGACTCGCCAGAGACAGAGTGGGAAGCAGAACGGACAGATTGACAAAGCACACTGCTGTGCTGAGGGGAGAAGCGGGGAGACAGGAGAGGTCTGCTGAGCCCTGGGGGTCCCCTCTGGGGCCGGGGATCGAACTCGTGCTGCGCTTTAACAACCATGGAACTGGTGCTGGGAGGGCCCCAGGTGGTGCTTCTGAGTCACATCCCTTGAGATGGCCCAAGGCCACATTCCTGAGGTGGCCTGACCAGCCTCACCCTCACTGTTCTGGGAGTGGCTTTCTCCAGAAACAGGTGACCCCGCACCCCCGAGTTTCACGCCGTCACCCCCGAGTTTCACGGGTCAGCTTCCCCTCTGGTGCCTCATGGGCACTGATGCCTTGCTGCCAGCATCTTGTCCTCACCTTGTCCGTGGCCAGACAGAAGGCCCGCTGCCCAGGCTGCCACTCAGGACCTCACAGGCCCCCTCAGGGCCCCCTGCAGGCCCCTGGGAGATGGCGCACCCCACCGTTGCTCCTGCCGGCACCCCAGGGAAGGCAGGACCGTATACATCAGTGACAGTGGGTGACACCGGAGGCCCGGGACGGCCTGTGCTCCTGCGGGCCAGTGTCTGGGGTGCCTGGGAGGCTGCGTCTCGGGTCCCTGGGCTCCCAGCGGCCACCTGCTCAGGCTGCCCACTCCCTGGGCGGGCGGAGGCACAGGCTGGGGCCCAGGAGCCCAGCCTCCCTCCTCTCCCAGCCTGTTCAGTTTTTCCTTCGCTCCTGTGGGTCACGCCCCCACCCACACAGCCACCCACCCAGTGCTTCTGAGGTCTCGTGAGAGACGGAGCTTTTTGACACCATCTGTGACAAGCTCGAGCCTCTAGCAGGCCCACGCCGCTGTGTTGCAGGTGAGGAAACTGAGGTGCAGGTGGTCCCCCACCGTGGAGGGGGGCTTTGAGGGTGAGAGAGCAGCCTCCCCGGTGTAGTAGAAACATGGGGAGCATGCAGGGCGGGGGCGAGGAGACCTGGACTTGGAAATGGGGTCACAGGGTGAGGGGCCCTCACGGCGCTGGGACGAGGGAGGAGTCAGGCAGGCGCCCCTGGATGCCCGGCTCGGAGGAGCTGCCGCGGCCTCCCCGCCCTCGCCCACTCTGGCCAGCTGCCCCAGCATGGCCTCTGGCCTAGAGCTGGCTTCTCTTGTTCCTCAGCCCCCGTGCCGCCCCCCCATTTTCAGCCATGTGTGCGTCTCCCCGAGGAACGTGGTGCCCCAGGACAGAGGCTGTGTGGCTGTCCAGGGCTATAAGCTCAGCGTCTGCAATGACAGGTGCTCGCTGTTTGTTGACTGACTGACTGACTGAACTTCTCCATCTCTGGCCCTGACTTCCGCCGCCATTAAATGGGAGGCTTCTAAGGTCCGTCTGAGCTTCCCGCAGCCGGGAGCAGCTGTGCCTCGTCCTGCCCCCACGTCTGGGCTTCGGCCATGGTCATTGGCTCCCACACAGCCTTCTAGCACGTGGACAGCTGCTGGTCAGCTGGGCCAACGCTGCCTTCTGAGTCTACCTTAGAGACTCGCCGCTCCTGTTTGCAGCCCAAGGATGGGAGCCTGGACACAGGCAGCTCTGGGAGAGCCAGGCCGCTGTTGCTGGCTGCCCAGCTCATTCTGAGGGTGCTGAGAGTGGTCCCTCGGGAGGCCAGGTCAGAGCTGAGGTCCGAGGATGCTGGCCCAAGGGCAAGAGGGGTCCCTGCATTATGGCGCATGCGTGTATATGAGAGGTGAGTGCGTGTCTGCATGGAAAGCCAGCACCCACCCAGGGCTTGCTGCAGGGGCCCAGACGTGACTCAGGGACGAGGGTGGAGGTGCTGGCTCCCTCAGCTGCGCTGGGGGGGAGGCCAGTGTGCGCCCCGGTCACCTCCCAGCTCCACCTCTTCCTCTCCACGTGGCCCAGACTTGAGACTTGCTCCCCCTGAACTGTGAAATGGGTACACACACCCGCTTTGGGGGACAGGCTGGGTCTGTAACACGTCTGCAGCCTGCAGCGCTGACAAAACATCCACTGCTGGCCAAGGCTGAGCACCTGGGGAGTGATGGAGGCTGGGTGGGGAGGAGGTAGCGAGATGGAGGGTGCGTTGAGGTGTTGGGTCTGCACCCAGGGGGGTGGGAGGCTCAAGAAGGGAGGTGGGAGAGGCACCAGGAGACTGGTCTTGTGGGGTCGCCTGGCCACATCACCTCGGCGCTCAGAGTGGTTGTTGGGGAGGGCACGCTGGCATGGGTCCGGCACGAGCAGTCACCCCTGAGCCCCAGTCCCGGTGGGGCTCAGTGCCTGCCGGCCACTCCCAGTGCAGGTGCCCAGACAGGGAGAGCCTGGCATGAGCTGAGGGGATGGGGTGGTGGTCCCTGAAGTGCGGCAGCTCTGAGGCCTGTGGTGGCCAAGAATGGACCCTGGTGGCCTCCAGGAGTCAGGTGGCCATGAGCCTGGCCCAGCCACCCCTGTAATGACCTGGAGCCTCTGGGCGACTCCGGAGGTGGGATTGCTCTTTCCAGCTCCATCTCCTCCTCTGCAAAATGGGCACAGGGCCCCTCCTTATCCACTGGCTGATTGAGCCTCCCCCCCTTTCACCCACTTCCTCACTCCCTCCCTCCATCACCCACCCACCAGCCCACAGGCTTTCTGTCTACCGCCTGTCAATCACCATCCCTCCACCATCCCTTCTCCAGCTCCTGCTCCTGCCAGGCCTCAGTTTCCGGTCTGAGATGCAGCAGTCAGTGCTCTTTGTTCCTTCCCAAGTTTCTACCTGGGGCTCTGCGTTTGCATTTGACTGCCTGGGTCAGCTGAGCGTATGAGTCATCATTCAGTTCCTCATTTCAGATGTGGCTCAGGGTGCCCTGTGGGCGGGTACTGTGGTGCCGCCCCCCCCCCAGGCCTAAAACTGGAGGCTTCTACAGCCCCAGGTTTCCTAGTGGGTCTGGGGACCCCTCCCTCCCCCTCCCCCAGTGGCCTGAGGCCCGCTCCAGGGCAGTGGGCCCAGTCTGTGCTCTGGGGAGCCTCTCGGGGAGGGGTGACCTCTTGTCCCCTCTGCCCAGGGGCTTTCTGTTCCTCATTGTTTTGCCATGACGGAGCTGTGGCTTCTTTTTCAGAGGACAAACAGGCCCAGGGGTTGCTCAAGGCCACCAGGCACCAGTGGATCTGGGGTCTGGAGCAGGATCTGGGGTCTGGAGCAGCGGAGAGGGTGTGGCCTGGGTCACAGGAGTGAGATTCAGGCTGGAAAAGACCCCAGGTGGGGGGGGTCCATCGCCTGCCTTTGTCCAGGAAACTTGGCCAGGCTCTTTGCCATCATGCCCCGGGTCCTGACAGGAACTCTCCTCTCATCAGGGCAGGCTCTGTGGGGGCTGCCTGGTAGGGCCAGGCCCTGCCCCCTCCGGGAGCCCCCCAGCTCCACATGAGGGTGGGACTCCCCTAGATACCCCAAGGGCACTCACAGGAATATGCAGGGTCCCTGGGCTCTGGGTGGCCACCCCAAGAGTAGGGGCTGTGTGAGGAGAGGCGGGTCCCTCTGGGGGCGCTCAGCCAGGGTGGGGAGACACAGCCCCTCCCGTGGAGACGGACACGCAGCAGTCTGCAGTGCGCACATTTTTCGGGGGACAGTCAGACCCACCTCCCTACAGTCGATGCTCAGTTGAATGGTGCTCTGGGGGCTGCCGAGGCCGCGTTCCTGCCCTTGGTGCTGCGTGCAGGCAGGGACACCCTCGAGGGCCGCAGGAACCATAGTTGCCTTCACTGTTACAAGGCGCCAGGTAACCCCAAGCTGAAATCAGCCTGGGAGAGTTGGAGAGCTCTTTCTGGGGAGGCGCAGCTCTGCAGGAGGAAGGGGTGCTTCCCAGGTGTGGCAAGGGAGGGGTCACCCTGGGGAGGGGGGCTGCTTTCCCTCAGATCTGCAGCACAGGTCAGAGCCGGGGCACCTCCCCACAGCTGGCTCAGCGCTGCTTTGGCCCGCAGCAGCCCTGAGCGCCCTCTGTAGCTGCTCTGAGGGAGGCGAAGGGAGGCATAGGCTGTCCCTCCTCCTTGCCTCCCCGCCCCCCAAATGGAGCTGTCCCCTTGCGCCACAGTCCCGGCAGGGAGGAGCAGGACGTTTGCAGGCCCTGGGATCAGGAGCTGGTGTCGGGTGGTCATGCCTATGGTCCTTCCTTCCCTCCTTCCAGGTTCTACACACCCCCTACACCCCGGAGCCCGGACACTCTTGTCAGCAGAAGGAATATTATGAGAAGAACATCCAGATGTGCTGCAGCATGTGTCCACCTGGTGAGGGGCAGCCGCTGGGCGCCGGGCCTGCCCGAGTGTGTGTGCAGGGGCCGGGCAGCGTCCTGGCCCTCAGTGCTTTCTGACCTCCTGCTTGCGTGAGCTGGCTTGTGCTCCCTTGTGCTCTGGGCCTGCGCACACGCTGTCCCCCTGCCTGGTGGGCTGCCCAGCTCCCTTCCTCTGGTTACTCTATCTTTTAGACCTCAGCTGAAAGGGCCTCTCCTCCAGGAAGAAGCCTGTCCACCAGGCTGGACCTGGCCTCTTTTGAGCTCCCCCTGGCCCCTGGTGTCCCCTGGGGTGAAGCTCTTTTCACCCCATGCGACTGCGCCTGGTCCCTCTTCTGTTAGCCCGCTGTGCGCTTCTCCGGATCGGTGACTATGGCTTGTCCTCCGCTGGCACAGTCCCTG